AGAAATTTAATAAGTGTAATTCTTTGAAAAATATACACGAGGTATAATTACATGTAAATGAAAGGTTGTGTACATAAACTATTTTAGCCTTATTCTGAACTAGTACTTCTAAGAGCTTTGTCAAATAAAGCTGTCGTTTCTAATTGGAAATATTTTATACGTAAGTTAATTCTTACGAAGACGAAATTACCAGCTTGTTCAACTAATTTATCATTTCTCAAACATTATCAACGTTGGGTTTTGTTCTGTCATATTTTGTACTTTAGGTATTTCTTAGTGTGAAAAATTGAATGGACAATGTTGAGGTTAGGTTTATGAAGCTAAAGTCCTCGAGCTGTTAGATATGCAACTATGATAGCAGTCATTTTCTTTTTCAGAATTTTTTCTTTTTATCATATAATGTTACAAGGATGTTACAGGATATTAAACAGTCAAGATTAAAAACTTGGTACAACAGCATAGTGTTGGAAAGAAGAACAAATATCAGCACATACAGTTAACTGACTTTACAGTGTGACATGTAATTGTTACTGATATGCAAGGTTAGCGATGGTGCACATCGTTTTTGTGATACAATAAACTTAACCAAACACCAGTTCTACTAACACAACTACTCACTTTTTTCAGGAACTGGTCTCACAGTCTATGGATTATCGAGTTGACTGTTCCAAAAGAAAGTGGTACAACCCAGAATTTCACACCTAATGAACATACTTTTGTTTGTTTGTTTCTTTTAGAGCAAAGTCATATTGGGCTATTTTCTGTGTCCATCGCGGGGAATCGAACTCCGGATTTTAGCGTTGTTAGTCTGTAAACTTATTCATCGGGGACACAGAGTGTTAATATAGAGCAAAGTATAAATATTTAGATTGAATTTCTTCCTATTTTTTTATTTGCACCGAAAGTTTGGAAACTTTATTTGATAAAAAAAAACATATTTAACTTTCATACAATTTTTTTCAAATGTAATACACTGATAGATCTCTACAACCTAGAATTCGTGCACGCCTACACAAAAAGTCACGTGTGAAATTTTTACTACAGCTTCTCCAAGTGTAAAGGAGGACCGTTCTTAGTTTTTTTGTCATTTGAATTAAAGACGGCTGATTTAGAATAGCAAAACTATAGGGTGAAAGGACGTGCAGATATATAGGTATTGGTTATACCAAGGAAACTAGATTAGCAGTTTCTAGCTCAAGTTTTCAAAAGAATCATGCGGGTGGGGTTTATTGTTCATTGCCAACTTTTAAGCACAAATCTGCGAAATTTTGTGAAATTCTCCTAATTTAAGAGTGTTTAGCGTCATATGATATTAGCTTAAGCAATTAGCATAAATAACGATGTTTGATACTGCTTTGTCGATTGTATGGGGAGGGTGACAAGAAACTATTAATCTAAATTCCATGGCGTTACTATAAAGGAAGTTCTTAACACTGTTTTAGAGAGGAAAAATTATCATTATATATTTTAAGGAATCTGGTTGGTTCTGTCAAGTAAAGGTCTGTTCAGAATAATAGGGTTGCGATCCTAAAGTTAATATTGGTTACTATCGAGTGTCACTTTCTTACTTGTTGTGGTTTTTCGGTGTGTATTGACAAAAAGTCATGATAACCAATTAAACACACATTGTTTAACTTAGTACATGTTGGTATATAAAACAAAAAACGTGGCCTAGCTAACTAATGAATGAATGAATATTTGCTGTAAAATTCCTAGCAACGGTATAGATGTAGCTATCAGTTTGGCCGCCAACTTTCAATACACTCCGCACGCTCAATCCTTTTTTTTTTTTTTTTTTTTT